CTTCCACCTTACCAAACATGATATCCTTCTCCAGTGACTGGTCCCTCCTGACACTATGTCTGAAGTATGAGAGACAAAGTTTGGCCATCCTGGCCTCCAAGGAGCACTCTGGCTGCACTTACTCCAACACAGATCTGTTGGTTCTCTTGGCAGCCCATGGCACTTTCAGTATTCATACATATTTTTTTAATTTTGCTTCTCTTTAGAACCCAGTCTAAGTCCTATAGTAGTAGTAAATGCTATTGTTTACTTGTTATCTTTATCTCAGTTTCTTGTTGCTTGGTTTCAATCCTGCTGCTATTTCCACTATTTTACAGTACTGGTTCATTCCCATTTAGAAACTGAGGCACAGAGACATTAAGTAACATGTACAAGGTCACTCAGCCAGTAAATGGTGAGGCAGCAACTCTAACCCAAGAAATCCATTTCTGGAATTGTTCAGTTGCACTATATAGAGTAAGTACTATGCAGTATTAGTATAACTATGAGTTGGAATCGTTGAGCTGAACTATACAGGGAAGTACTATGCAGTATTCATATAACTATGAGTTGGTGTCCCCTCAGTGGCACTGGGGTGTGGGGTGGGTATCAGTACTGAAGCAGTGGAGTCCTGGTGGCCTTGTAGGCTGGCACTGGGCTGCTAACCACAAGGTGGGAAGTTAAAATCCATCAAGTGTGGCACTGTGGGCTAATGCACTGGACTTCAAAGTGGATTTGAACTACAAGGTGGGCAGTTCAAGCTCACCAGCTGCTCCTTGAAAATGCTATAAAGGGTCGCTACGGGTCGGAACCGGCTGGACGGCCTTTCATAACAACCATTGCCACTATCTGGAGGAAGATGAGACTTTCTGTTCAGAATCCACATTAGGGCTGCTATGAGTTGGAACTGACTTGATGACAGTGGTTTGGTTTGGGGTATTATTAATGAAAGAGTCCTGGTGGTGCGGTGGGTTAAGCACTGGGCTGCATAACCAAAAGGGGGGCTATGTGACTCCACCCGCTGCTCTGTGGGAGGAAGATGATCCCTTAACATGTTCCCGTCTGGGAAGTCCTACAGACCTGGTCTTTTGGGTTCCAGTTATTGTTTGAATGGATTGAATGGCAATGGTATTTATTACGATTATTGCCCTTTATACTAAGATTAATACGATCATACTTATTTCAGATGACTTTTGTGAGAACTCAAAACATGAACGTGCGGAAAGACAGGTGCTTGACATCCACAGTATGCCCCCAAATGGTATTCAGGACTTCCTGTTCCTAAAACCAAAGAAAACTAAACCTGTCAAGTTGATTCCATTTCATAGTGTTCCCACCACAAATCATTGAATGGAGTGGACCCTACCTCCTGGTGATCCCACAGTGAGATGGCCAAAGCCATCAATCTGTGCGGAGGACAGCTGCCAAATCGCTCCCACACAGAGCAGGGGAGTGTTGAGCGCTTTAACCACTGTGCAACCAGAGGCCTGGAGTCGGTTCGCACCACGGCCTCCGCTCCGCCCTTCCCAAGATGGCGCTATAACCCTCGCTACCCAATCGGTTCCATTCAACATGGCGGCCGTTGCTCTAAAAGTCAAGGTCTGCCCTTCCCAAAATGGCGCTGAGAAGGCGGGTTGTTTACCTTCCGCCCTCCTCTAGAGGACTTCAACAGTTAGAGCAATTGGCGAGGGTAAATGCGCTGGACTGCAAGGCTGACGGTTCAAGCTCACCAGCCGCTCGTCGGAAACTCTATTCAGGATCGCTGATTCGGAGTCGACTCAGTAGCACTTGAACAACAAGCAGTTTAATTCAACTCGGATCCTTTTCTGACCTCCTCAAAATGGCGCCGTACGTAATACGACCCGCAAAGGACCTTTGCAAGATGGCGTCAACGTCACAAACTATGACGTTTTCCGTCGCTGTCAAGGCAGACACTTCCGGTCGCTCTACGAATATTTTTCTGAAGCCGACCACCATCCGCAAAGACTCTACCGGTTCAGGTCGCCCCAGAGGGACCATGGACCGGAGAAAAAAGCCTTTGGATGTTACTGCCTCCTCGGTGAGTGCGGCCTGTGGGGTTCCCCCGCCAACACCACTCAGCATGTAGATATAGCCTGTTTCTTCTCTCAGTGACCCAGACGTGTTTTCTCTCCCCCTTCCTCGGACTGGGGACCCGGGCCAACTTTCATCCAGCATCTTGACGTTGGCCTCACACCGGCTTCCGCAATCCAGGAACCAGCCAGGTCCTACCCGATGGCTGAAGTGGGATTTATTCCCGAGAATTCCGATTGTGCCGAGCCCTAGGAGGTTCTTAGCGCCTACCTTCCGGCGTAGGTTCTAATAATGTCCCGGTTCGATAGACGCAGACCTTGAGGCCCCGAGAGATGACGTGCCCTTCCTTCGCTTACCTACTGAAGTCTTCGGGATAGTATAGGAGCGAAGCGTTGGACTGCTAACTTCAAGGTCGGTGGTTCGAGCCTACCAGCTGCACACAGGAGGAAGATGAAGTTGTCTGCTCCTGGACAGATTTACAGCCTTGGAAACCCTAAAGAGTTCGCTGTCCTATAGGAGCTGGACTAGATTCCATGGCAATGAGGGTTTTTTTTGGGGGGGGGGGCGGAGTTAGTGTAAAAATGAGTTCGTCAGACAGGTTGACTCCAAAGCTATTTCCTTGAACATTATAGGAAAGTAAACCTTTGATTTAAAGTTGCATTTATCACAGAGTATTAGGATGCAAAGGCAGTATAATGGAAGTTATCTAAGTGTCCAAATATTTGAGCCCCTCCCCTTTTGCCTAACATTGAAAACAGGTACTTGTTAATAGGTTTGTTTTAGGGTTTGTTGTTGTTAAGTGCCGTCTAGTCGGTTCCGACCCATAGAGACCCTGTACAGGGTTTTCCAAGGCTGTAAATCTTTACAGGAGCAGAAAACCTCATCTTTCTGCTGTGGAACGGCTGGTCCTTTCGAACTGTGGTTCGCAGCGGGATTCGTAACCACTACACTACCAGCTGAACTAGAAAAGTGCAACCGTTTCAACTTGGTAATAACCACAATGGGAATGCCATCTGGGTATTACAAACTTTCTGACCGTCTTGCTTTGAAAATTTCAAAGTAGTTGTGGAATAGAAGAATGTGTGGAGAATTGGTGTGCGTAAGTCATAGACAAAAAGGCAAAAATTCATTTATTTTTAATATTTTAGAATATTGTCATGAAAGGAAACTACCCTTTGCATCGTTACAATCCCTGCCAACTTTCCTTTTAAACTGACTTAAATCATTGAGTTCAGTCATTTTGATTTCCGTAAAAAGTAATCAGTGATGATGGGCTTTTTAAGCTATGGGATTTGCAGTTGCCTGTGTGTGTATAAGCAGCTGTACCTGGACCCTTTTAAAGCAATTCTCAGAACTGTTTTTTGCTAAGCAAAAGGGTTTACTGACACCCAAGAGGGTTCGTGTTGTGAAGTGCCATCGAATCAGTTTCAACTCACTGAGACACTATAGAGTATCCGAGGAGCAGCTGGTGGGTTTGAACTGCCTAGCTATCCCATTCTTATCTCCTTGAACTATTTTTTTTTTCTCATTTTTGAACCCTTTGATTCCTCTAAACTTACTTTCTAATGTCTCTAAAATATACTTGGAGATATTCTTACCATCTACACTATTGGATCTAATTTTATTTCTGACTGTTGGAATTTAACCTAACATTTAAAGTTTAACTCAAAGCCTTCTCTAATCTCTCTGGACAAAGGAACTGTTCCTTAATTAGGGTATTAATGCTACTTTATTTCACTCTTAAAGCCATTTGTGCATTTATTTTTACTGGTACTAGAGGTTACTTTTCTCGTTAGATTATAGGCTCTTTGAGGCAGGGAGTAATTCCTGTTTGTACTATTCTTCATGGACTCCTGGTGTGGCGCTGTGGGTTATCTACTAGACTGCAAAATCAGTTTGGACCTCAAGGTCAGCAGTTCAAGCTCACCTGTGGCTCCTTAGAAACCCTTTACAGGGTCGCTACACCACATTTAATTCTTCAGTGTTATATGCTACAACATGCTGGGTACACACATAATTGGTCAACAAAGACATTTCCTTGTGTTGTTAGTGATGTCCGACTCATCGTGACCCTGTATAGGGTTTCCAAGGAGTGGCTGGTGGGTTTGAACTGCCAGCCTTGTGATTAGCAGTCCAGCATTCATCCTACAGTGCCATGCCAGGACTCCTACAGAGACATCTCCTTGTAGAAGTATAAAATTGTTGTGATGATTAGATGAGATTACTATATGAAAGAGCCAAGTGCCAGGCAGACAGACAGCGCCTAATATTGTTGGTTGAAGCTGATTTTCAAAGATGCAGAAATCCTCTCTTTCCTTCACTTCATCACTTTCTCTTTCCACAGACTACAGTCTTCAGTATTGAAAGGAAAGGGAAAATGCATTTGCAGCAGAACTGGAATAAAATCCCACTTGAGTTTTATTTTGCCCTGGATTATGTAAAATGGTTAATTTTGTATCCATTTTGTCCATTTACAGTATTAAACAGTCTTGCTTTGAGAATTACAGTAACTTGGACGTACCCATTAGAATTAATTAAATGTTTTTATTTTCTTACTGATTTTGTTCTAGTTGGTAGACCTTAAGGCTGAACTTTTTCGAAAACAAGAAGAATTCAAACAAGAAAAACTTCTAAAAGATTCTGGAGTTTCAGGCAAGCCAAAAATAACTAATAAGGTAAAAATAAGAACTAATGATCTTCTTTGATTGGGAATGTGGAAGTATTGGAGTTGTTAGGAATTACGAATGGTTTTCTAATTTTAGTGGTAATAGTAGTTACTGTTTATGTTATTCTGGAACCTTGAATTAAGCTGTAGCCATGTAGGAGATAAAACATAGTAGAGAAATCCCTGTATGAAGTTACATAGAAATTCTTCATTCAGTTGAGGGCTTTTCCCAGCCCCAGCTGTTGAGCCATGCGCATGTCTACCTGTAGGACACAGGTTAGCTGTTATAAGATCTTTTTGTCCCCACTGTGTCATAAGGTCTAATGATTTTACCTTCTATGGCTACCCCTCCTCCAGTGGACAAGTAGAGATTTGTTTGCCATCATGCTGTCTTATCTTTTTAATAAATTCTCCAGAAGCCAAGTATCTGGAGCAAACAGAATGCAGGAGTTTCACATCGGGCTGAGAAGGATGCTGAGCAGAAGATTGAAGAACAGAAGACTTTAGACAAAGCTCGGTAAAGTTAAACACTGATAAATGGAAAGTTAGTCACCTTTGAGGCTGAAGATTCAAATTTTATTCTTTGATTTCTGGTTCTAATTTTTAGCATCATTCTAGCCAAATACTGTGTTATATTTACAAATGTGTCTGTAGTCTTATAAGAAGGTAAGATACAGCCTCAGCTTAAAAGATGATCTAGGTCCCACTTTGAGCCTTTGTTAAGCAGTTAGATTGTCAACAGTGTTTAAGAAGTATCCCAATGGTGTACTCTGGGTTAGAGGGTTGACAACATTTAGAAACCCTCAGATGTTCCCTCAACTTTTCCTTTTGAAAAACTTCACACCAATGGGATAATTGAAAGAAGAGTACAATGAACATTTTTATACTCTTCGCTGAAATTCACCGATTACTCCCTTGATACTTTGGTGGTTTCCCCTGCCATCTCTCCTTTTCCTCGCTCAGATGCACATACAAATGCACGTCTTTATGTATGTGTGTGGAGAGAGAGAGACGACTTTTCAGAACTATCTGAACGCAAGTTGCAAGCATCATGATAATTTCCCTCTAACTACTGCAACTTGTACCCTGAAGCAAGGACATTCATTCATAATCACAGTATTGCTGTCGTAGCCAAGACATTTAGCACGATTAAACGTTCCCACCTTTTGTGTCGTCCATGCTCAGATTTTTCCAATTGTCCCAACGCCTAATGCCTTATAATTGAAAAAAGTTAATCGAGAATTCAACATATGAGTAGGTATTTCTTTCAGTTGACGTAGCTCTTTGTTATTGTTGTTAAGTGCCATCAAGTTGGTTCCGACCCATAGTGACCCTGTATAGGGTTTCTGAGGAGCAGCTGATGAGCTTGAGCTGTCAACCTTGTGGTTCAAAGTGCATGAATCCACAGCTCCACACCAGGACACATCTTTTTAGTTTCTTTTAACCTAGAACAGTTCTTTTTTTTTTCCTGATTGCTGTTGACATTTTTCTAGGAGCCCTAGTGGTGCTATGGGTTAGGCATTGGGCTGTGTTAACTGCAAGGTTGGCAGTTCAAACCCATCAGTCACTTCATATGTAAAAGATGAGGTTGTATGTTCCCATAGAGATTTACAGTGTCAGAAACCTTATATAGGGTAGCTGTGAGTTGGAAGGGACTGAGTGGCAGTGGGCTTGGTTTGGTTTTGTTGACAACTTCTCAGGAGTCCAGGCAGGTTGTCTCACCAGTGCCACCATCTGATTAGGGTCTGGTTAAGTCGTTTAACGGATGTTAGTACTACACAGGTGATAGTGTGCCCTTCTCACTGACTCACTTGTCAGTTTGAGTTGTGTTGTTGTTAAGTGCCTCTGAATTGGTACCGACTCATAATGACCTTATGCACAGCAGAACGAAATGCTGCCCGATCCTGGGCCAACCTCTGTACTGTTGCCACACTGGAGTCCATCGATGCAGCCACTTGGCCAATCCATCTCGTTGGGGGTCTTCTTCTTTTTCTCTGACCCTCCACACGATAAGTCTGATCACGTGGTTCAGTGGGTCTGCTAAATTCTACCCTATAAGTGTGCACTTCTCCCTGTGTAATTAATAAAGTAACCTGAGGAGGGAACTTTTGAAACTGAATGTCCTATTGAAAAACACAGTTCTGTGTAGTGGCTTTGTTGTCAGCTGTCAGCCTTGGCCCTTCTCAGTGACTGCATCGGTGGCTTCCGAATGATGTTTACGAAGAAGGTGGCAGGATGATGGGGAGCCAGGTGCTAAGTATTCCAGTGGGTGAGGGAGATTGCTGGACAGAACTGTGAGGGAGAGGGGAAAGTCTGGTGAGGAGAGCTTTGTAGGAGCTGGGTTTTGTGGGCAAAGGGTTCAGGTTAGGAATTGGAGAGAAAACCTAAACACCACTTCAGAGGCCTGTAGGAGTCAGAAGATAAAGGCAAAAGGTTAGGGACGTGAGGGGAGGGCAGAGTAGAAGTTTGGGGGTTGGCAAGGGGTGGGAAGTGGGTCAATTAGGAACTGTCCAAACCTTGTGGTGTCGACAGGGAAATAGGCTGGTGTCATGGTGTGGGTGGATCTTGCAGATGGAAGGGCGACAGCTTTATAAGAAGTGACAGTGGCAAGGCCATTTCTAATATTTGTCTTTTTATCTCCTAGGGAAAAATTAGAAGAGAAAGCCAAACTGTATGAAAAAATGACTAAAGGAGACTTTATAGGTAAATGAAATTAATTTATACTTCAGAATTTTCTGCCATTCATAGTCCTGGAGGCGTATTGTTACATGGTGGTGTTGTGCCGTGGAGTCGGTTCCGACCCTTGGAGACCCTGTTCAGGGTTTCCGCGGCTGTAAATCTTTACAGGAACAGAAAGCCTCATCTTTCTCCTGCGAAACAGCTGGTAGTTTCAAACTGCTGACCTTGAGGTTCGCAGCCTGATTTGTAACCACTTCGCCACCAGTAATATGTTATTTGTTCAAATAACCAAGAGTAAGAGGAAATTTTCAAAATCAAATGAATGAGTTTCTATGGCAGCACCAAAACAAGAAAATGGGTGTTAAGTCACCCATTGCCCAGTGGGTGCTAGGCAGCATGTGAGGGGCTGTGTGATCCAGACTTTGCCTTCTCCTCATGGTGGACATCGTTAGGTGGAGTGATGCCACAAGGCCCAGTTAGGAGACAAAATCTGAAGAGGTCACAGCAGTGCTCACCTACAGCCATGTTTTAAAAATGGCAATGGAGAGGAACTATGATTGTATCACAATACTAGGGGGTTTCTTTCCCCCCATTTTTCTGTTTTCTGTTTTCGTGTGATGTACTTATAATTGTTGCCCCCCACCCGCCCCAAGGGAACCCAGCCCACAGACAATAGTAGATGAGATTTTACCAGGCTGTGGTGACTTCACTACAAAAGTGACTAAGCACTCCAGGAAGACTTTAGGGAGAAGGTAGGCTCTGCTGTGGCTCTTAGGACTCTGGAGAGTTGGAGAGAGGGATGGTGCCGGGGGCAGCAAAGCAGGCCCAAGATGGAAGCCATCTCTTCTCTGACAGCAGGGAGCTCAGCCCAGGGCTGCGGGAGAGTATGTGCATTCTTAATAAAGCAGTAGCAAGCTGGTCTCATTGCTATGTGGTCTTGAAACTCGGCTTTCTCCACTCCACTGCCATTGAATCATTTCCTACTTATAGCAACCCTGTGTTGTTGTTGTTATGTGCCGTGGAGTCGGTTCCGACTCATAGCAACCCTGTACAGGGTTTCCGAGGCTGTAAATCTTTACGGGAGCAGAAAGCCTCATCTTTCTCCCATGGAACAGCTGATAGTTTTGAACTGCTGACCTTGAGGTTCACAGCCTGATTCATAACCACTACGCTGCCAGAGCCGTCAAGTTGGTTCTGACTCATAGTGACAATGTATAGGCTTTCTGAAGAGCCGCTGGTGGGTTTGAACTGCTGACCTTATGGTTTGCAGTCCAATGCTGATCCTATCAGCACTACATCTGTGATCCTATGTTTTTGTTGTTGTTAAGTGCCATCGAGTCAGTTCCGACCCGTAGCGACCCTGAACAGGGTTTCTGAGGCTGTAAATCTTTATGGGAGCAGAAAGCCTCATCTTTCTCCCGCAGAGCAGCTGGTAGTTTCGAACTGCTAATCTTGCGGTTCGCAACCCAATTCGTAGCCACTACGCTAGCAGATAGGTCACCTCATTTTCTCCCCGTAAGTGGCTGGTAGGTTCAAACCTCTGACCTTCCAATTAGCAGCCCAGCAGTAACCCACTGTACCACCAGGGCTCCTTAAATCCCACTCTTTCTCTAGTTGTGGTTTTTTTTTGTTGTTTTTTTTAAAGCCACTTTTCTCTTTTGATTCATACTCCTGTTAATAGTGAATCAGAGTCAGTTTCAAGGAGTAAGCCTGTGATTGGGTTTTTTTGTTTGTTAAAGCAGAGGAAGGTATTTGAGTTTTGTAATTAACCTCAGCTGTTCTCCACTGTAAGATGGGAATAACACCACCATTTGCTCATATGGAAATGAACCCTGGTGGTACACTGGTGTAAGCATTTGGCTGCTCACCACAAAGTTGGTGGTTCCTAGATCAGCCGCTTCGAGGGACACCCTGCTGACCAGTCCTCTATCCTCTAGGCTGCTCTGGGTCAGAATCGGTTTGATGGTAGCAAGTTGGCTTAGAGGGAACCTGGTATCTGTTCAATATATCTTAATCTCTGTCCTCAGAGAAAAAAACTCAAATAATTTCCTCTTAAATCCAATGACATTTCATCTTAACCTGATTTGGAAATACAGATATTCTGTATCAAAATCATGGATTGCTGCATAATGTTTAGTCCAGGCCTCAGCTTGCAATTAGCTCCAAAGTGCCGGAGGTCGACAGTGGACCTCTCAGTAGGCCTCGTAGCCCCTGGCACCCTGCCTTGCCTGAAAGTGGTATTCATTGAGATGAGAAAACAGAATTTAGATGACTTCTGTATGACTCTTAAAATTCTTGTTGTTGTTAAGTGTCGTCAAGTCAGTTTTAGCTCAGAGCAACCCTATATAGGATTTCTGAGGAGCTGCTGGTGGATTTGAACTACCGTCCTTGCTGTTCAAACCAACCTTGTGGTCCAGTGCATTACCCTGCAGCACCACAATAGGACTCCATTTAAAACCCTTGACACATCACAAACTCAGATTCCATTCAGTGACACTGCCCATGTGATTAGAGAGGTGATTGAGTCCCTGCAGCAGAGATGGCCTGGACTGAGGACATTAGAGATGCAGTTGTGTCTGGATTATGTAACTGGCTGGGTGAGTGTCTTGGAATCAAATGGCTGTGTTCTCTTAAAATGGTATACCGCTCATTTAGATAATGTATTAATGATGCAGTGGAAACATTTAAAGATTTTTTGTAGTGTGCATTTCATGTGGCCTCTTCACAGCTTCTCCTCCGTCTTGGTCCTGGGCTGGCTAGATTTGAACTAGTGAACTGCCAGGGTAATTGGGCAGCCCCACTACAAAGGTGGCTGTTTTGTACCAATTCCATACATGACCTTCTTTTCTAATGTCAGGAATCTGAGAACTGATTTTTGTATCCTAGAGGAAGAAGTGGAAGATATGTACCTCGTGGATTTCACACAGAAGATCATAGACAAACGCAAGGAAATGGATGCATGTGGTGCAAACAGAGGTTCTGGAAAAGTGGAAGGAAGAGAAGATGATGAGGAAAATCTTTCTGAAAGAGATATACCTCCTCCCCAAGACCCTAGTGAAGAATGGTGTGTGATACTAACATTGTCTAACTTATATTGTTTTCTTTACTTGAGTTGCTGTTGATCCCTCAGTTTTCTTTCTTCTGAAAGCTCCCTCTGAGTGAGATTGAATTAGGTTAGGATGATAGTGAGAGATTGTAACTGAACTCCTGCTGCTCACTAGGCACAGGGCTGCAGAGTGATTACATTGACAAACCTGTTTCCTCCATGTCTACCAACAAAATTGCTCATTCATGTCAGAGAGTTGCCGAGACAGAAACTGTTCCTTGGTTCCCTATGATACTGTCTTACCTGGTTCTCTTCTGACTTCCTGGAGAGCTGTCCAGGTAGGGAGGATCTGTTTCCAGCAAAAATGAGTTGGCAGAGTTGGTGCAGTTTCTGAGTTGACATTGTTTGGCAGTGTGGTATAAACATTATGAGTGCTAGGCTGGGATAACTCTGGCCCCACTTGGTATTGGTGGTCTGATGCTGACCAGGGTCTCACTGCTCCGAGGCTCAGTTTACCCTCTGTCTAATGGGGAGGATAGTGCCCAGCTCTCCTGATTGTAGCCTTAAACACCCTGCAGAAAATATCGTAGGCCACTCAGGAAACTATCTGGGGAGGAAAACCAGGCATTTGATAAACCTTAGTTGTTGACATTAACCTGAATGTTTTCTCTGTGTAGATAAATGATAGAAAAAAACAAGTCTGTGTCTTACAGAGAAACCAGTGTGTCAGTAAATCATCAAATTCTATTATAATGATGGTGTGGTGCTGTAGCATAAGCTCCGCAAGGTTGGTGGTTCAAACCCACCAGCTGCTCCATAGGAGAAAGCCGAGGCTGTGTACCCCAGTAAAGAGCTCCAGTCTGCAGAGCCCTAGCCAGCATTGACAGGAGTCAGAACTGGCTCGATATGCTTTGTTTTGTTTTGTGGTAAGATCCTGTTAAGGAGCCTTGTCATTCAGGAACTTGTTCAGAGGTGAAATCGGTTAGAGCTCTGCTGATGCTGTCAGGACCTCTTGGCACTGATCCCGCCTGCCCACCTCTCTCTGTCAAGGCCCCACTATCCTCCTGGTAAGAGTTAAGTGTTGGGAATGACGCAGAGCTGTGCGTAGCATTTGTGGACCTTTTGTCAGCCACTGGTACTCTGGGCAGGAGTCGTTGAAGCACTAAAGGGACCAGGTGTCAGAATAGCTGTATCAGAGTAGCTGACACCATCTATGCAAGGCTGGGCGCCCACATGCTCTATGTAGCCAAAGGGAAAGTGCCTACAGTCTCTCCCACTGGTGCCTTTGGGACTGGATGATTTCTCCCTTGTCTGTACTTAGGTTTTTGTTGTTGTTAGGTGTCATCGAGTCTGTACCGACCCATAGCAACCCTATGCACAACCTAGCGAAACACTGCCCAATTCTGGGCCAACCTCACAATTGTTGCCATGCTTGAGTCCATTGATGCTGCCACTTTGCCAATCCATCTTGCTGGGGGTCCTCCTCCTTTTCTCTGACCCTCCACCTTACCAAACATGATATCCTTCTCCAGAGACTGGTCCCTCCTGAAAATATGTCCAAAGTGTGAGAGACAAAGTCTGGCCATCTTGGCCTCCAAGGAGCATTCTTTCTACACAGATCTGTTGGTTCTTTTGGCAGCCCATGGAACTTTCAATATTCTCCTCCAACGCCAGAACTCAAAAGCATCAATTCTTCTACCGTCTTCCTTATTCACTGTCCAGCTATCACATGCATGTGAGGTTATTGAAAATACCATGGCTTGGGTTAGGCGCACCCACTTGGGTAGCAGCGAGTTAATAACACTCATTGCTGCTTTGGGTCTTACCTTGTACTACTAACACATACCTGCTCTCATTATCAGAACAAGGTTTGAGGCAAACCTTTGTTGGTAAGAGTTTCATAGCATGTTTCTTGGCATCCCCTCCAGAGCCCAATGAAAACAGCACGAGTCCTAGCCCTCCTTGTTTCACCCTCAGCACCTTGAGGAAGACTTTGTTCCCCAGGAGTTGTTCCCTAAATGGTCGCTGGTTAAATAGAGCACTTGCTGACTCTTGTCTTGTGACTTCTGTTTTGATAGGATTTGGATGGTTTGGAGACTTCTCCAGAAACAGAATAGCCTGTGATTGCTTTTCATAGCAGAAATCTCATCTCCTTTGAAAGGTCTAGCATCCTTTTTTTGTTTTGTTTATTAGTGCCTGTATAATTACAAGCAATTTGTCAGTGATTTGAGTAGTTTGGAGGCAACTGAAGGTGTCACATGCCACCATATGGTGAAGGAAGATGCACTGCAAGCAGTTTCTGCCTTGTTTTTGTTTTCACATTAAGCTTCGGAATTGTAGCTGCTTGTAAAATCTTCTCTGTAGTTAGGTTCCAGGTGGTTGGGAAGCTTTTTGCAAAAATACTGTAAATAATTATGCAGACCATCTGGCTAGTTGGTTTTCGTTCCCCTTCATTTAAAAAAAGACAAGGGAAGGCAGAAAGGCTTTCTGCAGTTGGCGTTTTATTTCCTGTGGTGATCAGGTTTAGACTGTACTAGTGGATTTCCAGACATTGAGTTTCTGAATCATGTGCTGTTGGAGATTCCTTGCCCATAGTCTAAAAAGTAAAAAATGTAATGTTTGCCATGGAAATCTGTCTGTATTTCTTGCTGTAGGATGGCAAAGTATTTCGTTGTGCCTTGCTGTCTGCCTGGCGTCCTGTTAACTGCTGTCTAATTTGGGCAAAGATGGTGACCACTGTTGAGATGCTTTTGTGGAATTAAGTGTGTGTTACTTGGCTTCCTCCTAATTACAAAGAGTCCAAAAATTTCCATCACTTATATGAAGAGATTTTTAATTTAGTGGGAAGAGTGTATAAATTATATGAGACAAGGAAAGAAGGAGGAGTGAGCTTTGGGCAAACTGAGGAAATGAACAGACAGAGACTAGAGTTCAGCAGAGTCAAGTTGTTCATATGCTGACAGAATACTTTGAATTGTCTAGGCCATATTAAAGGAAGCCCTGGTATGTGAAAGCAAGGGTTTCTGTGGGTAACTTATCTTTGCAATAAGAGCCATAAGTGATCAACTATTTTCTACAGTTTCAAAACCCAAGATTTTATTTAGGACACCATGAGCTTGTTGTGTGTGAGTTTTGAGCTCTAGAAGGCAGGTTCGCCTCAGTGGTAGTGATGTCTCAGGCCTGTGTTCACTGTTCACCTGCCCTGTGGACAAAGATTCCCTCACCTCTTTTCACTGTCATTTCAGGGTGGACTATGTGGATTCTCTAGGACGATCCCGGCGCTGTATGAAAAAGGATTTGCCAGATCTGCTGGAAATGGATAAAAACCTTCAGGGAAGGCTGTAAGTATGTGCTCTCCATGATTAGCCATACTGTGCAGCTCCTCGAATGAACGAATCCTAGCTCTCTCTGTGTGTGTGAAAGATGTCTGCAATCTGGAAACTATCAGTGCAGAGTGACCAGTGTAGAATGAGCCCAGAACAGACAAACAAACAAGCAAAACCTCTGTGGAGATAAGTTGTTTATGATTATCCACTTGATTTCTCCACAAACAAAGGCAGAGAAGTAGGTTTTGCTACATAACCTTTTCTGTATACATCTGTACATTTTTGAAGTAAGGTCCTTATAACGAGTCCCCCCTTCCCCGCCCCCAACCTGGTGGGTCCTAAGACAGACCTAAGATAATCAACTATTAAAACATCCCAGGGGAAAACCTGCCTCTTGACAAGGGCAGCTTCTGTGTGACAAGTGCCTTGTCAGAATCCCCCAGAACCCTACCTTATGTAGGGTCCAGTTCCTAGCCTGAGCTCCACACAAGACAGGAAGGCCGGAGACACCCTGAGGCTCTTAGCTGTGGCCCCCTGGATAAGGTACGCCCAGGCTACCTTTACATCCCTGGACAAGAGGCCATCCAGAGCAGCTCCATCTATGTAGCACAGGACTGGGGTGGGAAGGGCGGTTATTTGTCGTAAATGCCAAGGCAAGATTCATTAAGCTAATGTAATGAATTGGGTGCTTAATCAGAGAAAGTTTCATCATATTTCTTGATGTGGTGCTGTGGGTTTAATGCGCTAGACTACAAAGCCATTTGAACTGCAAGGTCAGTAGTTCAAGCTTACCAGCTGCTCCTGGGAAACCCTATACAGGGTCACTATGGGTCGGAATTGACTCGATGGCACTTAACAACAATAACATGGGGCAAAATACTTCTGTGGGAATCATCTTTATCTTATAATGTTATTGGTTCTTGATCCCATTCCCTGAACTTTAACATGGATTTCTCACATCTATTGTCTGAAGATAGTTTTTGCTTTATTTTCCTGCCAGTTTCATTAGTCCAGCTAATGAAAAGACATTATTATCTGAGGATATGAGGAAAGAGCTTCAACGCCAGCAGTGGCAAGAAGAAGAAAGGGAGGCCCTAGCAAGGCCAATGGGGCCTATCCATTATGAAGACATTCGTGAAAACGGTACAGTCATTCAGTTTTCTATCTTTTTGAATCTTGAACTAATGGCAAGCATAAAGAGCAATATTCATAAAACACAGCCCTTACACAGAAATAAAGAATTCTGCCTTGGAAATTGTATATATTCTCTTTGTTCACTCTATGGCTTAAAAACCCCTTCATATTCAGAAGATACTGTTAACAGAAGCTCACATATTAATCCAAGAGTTTGTTCCCTGAGAGAGAGATCCATTCATTCCCATGACTGAGAATGAATGGATCTTTGTTATGCACATCACTTGGCAGATAAAGTGAAGCTAGTTCTAACAGATTTCTGCTTAGCTTCTGATTTTATTTTGGTACGTTTTTAAACTTGTGCCAAATATTACTGCATTTCTTTTTGCTTTAGGAAGATATTTGGCCACAGTGATGGTCATTGATCAGGAAAATCTAATCTTTTGGATTATTTTTACTAATTTCAGAGGCCCGGCAACTTGGTGTTGGATATTTTGCTTTTGCCCGAGATAAAGAGCTAAGAAACAAGCAAATGAAAACTTTAGAGATGCTACGAGAACAGGTACAAGTTCAATTCAAAGCTGATGTTACAAAGGATCTTACTGCAAAAAGTCTTGAAAATGAATTCTCAGAAATTCAAATTAGCATTCAAATTCTGTTTTATTGCTTGCATCAAATTGCCATATTTATTTTTGTGTTTTAAACTCTAAGATTATACCTGCTCAAAAGTAACCTGTGTACTTTATACTTTAAAGTTTTAAGTTTGGTTTCAGATATGGTACTTACTTTGTTTAAGTGCCATCGAGTCAGTTCTGACTTCTGGTACTTTCAGGTGAGTGAAAAATAGATTATTAAGGAGTACAACAGAATTGGTCTGTTTTCTTGACTGTTTTGGTCTCCAAGTTGCCCAACTTCAGAAAACTTGAAGGGCTCATACACATGGGTAAGTCAAAAAATAGTGCAATAAAATCATAGAAATCTTTACTAAAAAAAAAATACCAAAATATGAAGCTATTGTTTTTCGATATGTTCTCCATCGAGGTCTGCACCCTTCTGAAGGCAGTATTTCTATCTCTAGAACCCTCCTCAAAGAATTCTGAACTCTCTGATTTGTACCACATTAAATTGGGCCGTCATGATATTATTGATAAGGAAAATCTCATCTTTTGGATCATTTTTACTGATTTTTAGCATCCTGGCAACTTGGTGGTGTTGTCCTCAAGGAACTCAAATCTTCCTTTTCAATGTTCTTTGAGTTTGGGAAACAAAAAGAAATCTGAAGCAGCAAGGTCGGCGCTGTAGGGTAGATTGGGTGAGCTCACTCCCCAAAATTCTTGTTGGCCCTTAAGGATTGAGCAAGTACATTGTTAGGAAGGACAGTCACCTTGGTGCAGTTTCTTTGACCTTTTTCTCACCAATGTAGTTTTCAATTTTCATAAAACTTCCTCCTAAGCCCCATGATCACCCTATGTCTTTCAAGAAAATCTATCAAGACGCTTCCATTGGAATACCAAAAAAAACTGTACCACAAACTTCTGAGCTTATTACTTCTGAATTGAGTTTAACTGGCCCAAGAAATCCTCTCGGAAGCCACTGTTTTAACTGGACGTTTTTGAAGTTGAGTTGAGTTGAGTTTTGAGAGCACTTGTCTGCAACTATCCACTGATCACAGAGACATGTCTAAATGCATTTTCTTTGGAATAACCCTCTACATGATTGAGCTAAGGTCCCTGCTGGCACTGTACACTAAGCACTGGACTGGGGGAACACTTCAAACCCACCAGCTGCTACTCAGGAGTAGGATGAGGTTTTCTGCTTCCTACAGCCTCAGAAACTCTACGTAAGGTTTATATCAGTTGAATTTGACTCCATGGTTGTGGGTTTGTTTCTTGATTTGTTAGGAACTGGAACCTCAGTTCCTAACTTTTGACTTACCTTCATTGGAGGTCATATGTATTCATTTTAAGGGGCTTAAAGGTGATTTCTTAGAGGTGTCATGAAAGTGAACATGAGTTTATTTTTAGACTAAAATAGTAATTTTGTACAGAAATACTGTGATTGGTTTTCAAGTAAATAATCTAAGTTTCTATTCTGTTCAGACAACAGATCAGAGAACCAAACGAGAAAACATAAAGGAAAAGCGAAAGGCTATGTTAGAAGCAAGACTTGCAAAACTCCGACAGAAAAAGATGAAAAAATCAAACGAAGATGGAGTAGAGAAAGAAACGAGAGGTATACCATAGTTCATACTTCCACACTTCAGAAGGGAAGCTTGAGTTCCATTGATACCTCACTAATTCTGCTGGTGGTGTATGGATTAGCCACTGGAATTTTTCTCTAAGCAAGCAGTATACATTTCAAGTGTAGCCAGGAGCAGTGTTTAGAGCCCAAGTATGTGCAGTCATACGGCAAAACAGATTTTCAGGCTGCAGGTCAGGATACTAGCCCAACACGGAGCAGAAACCGACATAAGAAAGACACTTCAGGGTAGATATTACTTGTGTATATACACTCTTTAGACTTCACTTTTTGCTGTGGGACCCTAGTTTTGTTCCAGCATTTGAAGCCTTTGGGTTTGTCGTACTGTGCTAGCTGTTTTAAGTCCCAGCAGGGTCACCCAGAGTGGTCCAGTTTCAGCAGAGCTTCCAGACTAACACACACGATGAGGGAGGACAGGCGACTCCTTTTGAATGCTTAGCCACTGAAAACCGTAGGAATCGCAGCACAATATTGTCATAGACAGTACCAGAAGATTGAAAGTATGTATAACACTATTAGATATAGTGCTGGGAGATGAGTCTCTCAAGGTAGAAGGCACTTAAAATGCAACTGGGAAGAGCTGCCTCCCCAAAGTACGGTTGACCATGATGTGAATGGAGTAAAGTTTTTGGGACCTTCGTTTGCTGATGGAGCACAACTAAGAATGAGAAGAAACAGCTGCAAACATCCATCAATAATCAGAACGTGAAATGTACAAAGTATGTTTGGGGGAATTGGAAGTTGTTAAAAATGAAATGGAATGCATAAAGATCAATATCCTGGGCATTAGTGAGCCAAAATAGACTGGTATTGACCATTTTAAATCTGACAATCATATGGTTTACTACTCTGAGAACAACAAATTCAGAAGAAATGGTGTAATAATCATCCACCTTTAATGAAGACCAGTGAATACCACTACTGTGATTGTCACAACTGAAAAGGTAGAAGTTTTGTAACAAAAAGGGGGAGTAGTTAATCTTACAGTGCAGGAACAGAGGACCCTAGGACCATCAAGGGAAAAGAGCACAAGCAGAATGTGGGACCTTATCCAGAGAAGCAGCGACAGCAGAGATGACATGGAGAGATAAGAGCAGCTGAGGATCCTAGGAAAGAGAAAGGTTGTATACTGGTGGCTAGGAGACAGGCTTGCAGAATGTGCTCTTGGGGGGGGTTGTTTAAATGATTATATATTCCTGAGTGTTTTGTGTACATCAGAAAAATAGAGAGGGAATAGAAACAAATGTTGAATGTTGATGCGTGGAGGGGATTGTAATCATTGCAATGAAATGAAATACAAGTGCAAAAAACTATCACTCAAATCACAATAAAAGCTTCTAAAAAAGAGGGCAGGGAAAGTGACTGTACCAAAAAGAAATAGTAGGTACTCAACTGCTTAAGAGGTGCCATGTGATCAAGAATCCATGGTACTGAAGGAAGAAGCCCATACTACACTGATGGCATTAGTGAAAAACAAGTCTTCGGGAAATGACAGAATACAAATGGAAATCTTCCAACAAACTGATGCAATCCTGGAGTTACTTGCTCATCGATGCCAAGACAACCACTGACTAAACGATTGGAAGGTATCCATATTTGTGCCCATTCCAAAGAGAGTTGACCCAAAGGAATGTGGAAATAATTGGACACTGTCATAATGCAGGGAAAATTTTATTGAAGATAATTCATAGCTATTGGAACAACGGGCTACTGCCAGATAATTTAAAGCTAACTCAGAAGACATGGAACAAGGGGGATATATCACTGTGATATTAGGTAGAGTGTGGCTGAAAGCAGAGAATACCAGAAAGATGTTTGCATGTGCGTTATTTATGCAAAGCTTTTATACAAAAGCTTTCAACTTTTTGGATCATGGCAAGCTATGATTAACATTGTGAAAAATGGGTATTGCAGAACACTTAATAGTGCTCATGAGAAACCTGTACGTAGACCCAAGAGACAGCTATTCGAACAGGACAAAAGTACACTAAAAGGTTTAAAATCAGGACAGGTGCGCGCCTACATTGTATCCTTTCATCGTACTTATTCGTTTGTATGTGGAGCAAATAATCCGAAAAGCTGAAGAACATAGCGTCAGGATTGTGAGGATATCCATTAACAACCTGCGATATGCAGGTGATGCATACATACAGGCTTGTTTGTTGGAAGAAAAGAGGACTTAAAATCCTGGGGATGAAGACCAAAGACCACAACCTTCAGTTTAGATTGTACCTCACTGTAAAGAAAACAAAAATCCTCACCACTAGACCAATAAATAATAGTATGATAAATGGAGAAAAGAATGATGTTGTCAAGGACTTCATTTTGCTTGGGTCTACAATCACACTCATGGAAACAGCAATCAAGAAATCAAAAGACTTATGTATTAGGCATATCTGCTGCAAAAGAGCTCTTTAAAGAGCAAAAATATCAGTTTCAGCGCTAAGGTGTACATGACCCAAGCCATGGTATTCTCAATAGCCTCATATGCATGTGAAAGTTGGACAGTGAATAAGGAAGAGCATAGACGAATTGATGCTTTTAACTTACGGTGTTGGAGAAGAATAAACAAATCTGTGTTGGAAGAGATATAGCCAGAATGGTCCTTAGAAGCTAGGGTGGTGAGACTTTGTCATAGTTTGGATGTATTATCAGGAGGGACCAATCCCTGAAGAAGAACATTTTCTAACCTCTGAACAAAAGTTTAACTTTGAAAAGAGACAAGAAACATTTAGGATCTTGAAAATTAGTTGGTATCACATAAGCACTGGTTCCCCATAGCATGTTAAACTCTACATACTGTTTCTCTTATTTTTGGTCCATCTTCTGGACGTCGGTCATTTCCAGAAGACATGAAGTGCCACAACAGTATTTTTTAAACACTTAAAAAAAAAAAAAAAAATTGGCCGACATTGAATAGCCCATGCGAGCCTGTTTCCAAGCTTCGGTTCTTCATCACCCAACTCCCCTTGCTTTGTCTCAGACTCTTTAGCTGAGTAGCTCAGCAATTGCTGATTTTTCGATTGTTGGTTTAGGGAATCAGAGTGGCATGGCAGGAAACAGACTTGGAAGTCCATCTAACCTGATTTGAATCCTTGGTCTCGTCACTGTGTAGCAGTTCTAAGCTTAATTTTCCTAATCTTGGAACTCAGTGACTCTGGAGGATAAGCACTGGTCTACGAACCACATGGTTGGTGGTTGAACCTACTAGCAGCTTCACTGGAGAAAGATGGCGCTTTTTGCTCTGTAAAGATTTACAGCTTCTGAAACCCTGTACAGAGTCACTAGGCGTCAGAGCCAACTCTATGGCACTTAACATGGTTATGGGAGAATTAAATGAAATATTGCATACAAAGTCCTGGTCCACGTGATAAACACTCTGCAAACAGTGATTGTTACTTTTATTCTCAGATTAGTTTATTTTATTTATTGCTTTTTAAAAAATAGCTCGACGCTTTGTTGTAATCATGTCTGATTCCTTTTTGCAACAATAGATGAAGCTGCTGTTGGGCCTTTGTCTCCAGAAGCAGAAGCCATGCCGGCTCCTTCCCCCGTTGCTCAGAGCAGCAAAGTAGAAGTCCTCATTCAGGAGAGGAAGGACACCAAGCCTGGAGTGCCTCATGTTCGGGAGTGGGACAGAGGCAAAGGTAAGGAGGGCGCCTGGGTGGGCTGTGGGGGAGACTGCTGCCCATGAGCGTGTGATTCTGGTGAGCTCCAGGGCCCCGTGAACCTTGGGGATTCTCCACATCCTTCACCTCATTTCTTCTTGATGCCCGGGAAACCTAAGTGCTCTTGTTTGTGAACAGGAGGTCTATTAAGTGAGGCCAGGCTCTACGAAAGCTTCATGTCAGAAGGATCTTTTTAGCGGCACTTTGGGGGAAGTGTTTTTAAGTTTGTGCTGCCCTCATGTGATTCAACAGCTTGGGACTGCCATGGCTCTGAAACAGCTCTCAATATTTGAATATTACCAAGGTTTGGTATTCTAATGGTTTTCACAGTCCCTTTGATGGTCAACTGAAAACTGGTGGTGTGTTACACTGGCTCGTGAAGGGTTCCATTGGCCGGTTTTGTGTAAACTTACCATGATTGGCAGGTGTTGCGTAAATACTCTGTGGTGCCTACAGCAGCCTCTCTCTGGAAAAAGACTCCAGTTGATGAGAGAAGGAAGGCTGACAGCAAGGACCATTCCCACCCCCTCTGTACACAGGGTTGATAGGGACAGGCAGCTTAGACATTGGCTACCTAAAATGGGGGAGCGGAGGGGCTAATAAAGGCACGAGTGACTGGCTTACAAGTTTTCAAGAGGGAGTTTAGTTCCAAGACCCAAATAAGAGAAATGCAAATAAGCAAGTGTCTTTGGTTAGTCCCACTGTTTCATGTAGCAGAGTACAGTTTGCTATGTCCCTTTGTGGCTTCTGACACTCTGTAAAGGGCAAACTTGGTGTCCTGGTGTGGCACTGCGAGTTAATGCTCTAGACTGCAAAGTCGGCTTGAAGTGAGATTGGGGGTTCAAGCTCACCAGCCATTCCTTGGAAACCCTATACAGGGTCACTATGAGTCAGAACCAACTCAACGGCACATACCAACAACAGCCTACAATATCATGTTGAACAAATGGTTCGTTACTTTCCTTTCCAATGGCATTGACAGTCTCCAGTGAGGACAGCCTTCTCCACAGAGCCTTCTTTGGGTCTTTCCCATGTGGGTGAACCCCTCCCCTATCCCATTTCCATAGTCTGCTGTTTTACATTTTTTCTAGGTACGTATTATACAATATATTAGCGTTGTGTTGGTGCTGTATTGCTCTAGAGAATTTAAGGTGGCTTTTAAGAAATATATGTGTGTGTGTGTGTGTGTGTATACATATATATGTTGTTGTTAAGTGCCGTCTAGTCAATTCCGACCCATAGCAACCCTGTATAGGGTTTCCAAGGAGTAGCTGGTGAGCTTGAACCACCAACCTTGCAGTTCAGACATCTTTGCAGTCTAACACATTAGCCCATGGCACCACATTAGGACTCCATATAGGAATTGAAAAATAATATTAAAAATTCATGCTAATAATACCTTTCTTGTTTTCACAGAATTTTCCTTTGGAAGCTGGTCTAAAAGACAGTCAGCTCTCCGTGCTGAGAGAGATCCGGAGTTTGCCCCACCATCAGATTATTTTGCTGGTCAAAAGAGAGCTGGTCCTTTTGGTGGCCAGCCGTGGAACCGAACTGGACCTGCACAGAAAGGCCTGGGGCTGGGCTCTGGCCAGAGCCGTGAGTCCAGCTCCTCACACGCCACCTTCATGCCTGCTCCTGATGGCCCACCACGGGATTCCTCAGCCACATTTGAAACTCTGGATGACATGATATCATATTATAAACAAGTGACATGAGCTTAAAAAGGCATCTGATTTGGGTTTGTATGTTCATGGTGCTTTCTTCCCCCAAGCTAACTTCAGGTTCTGAACTGTACCTTTGCTTTCTTACCCTTTCCCTTGAGGACAAAGGCTTCAGGTTAGATTTCTCAGCAAGACGGACGTGAATGATACCATGGGAAGTGTGCTTCCACTTGGCCATTCATTTCTCACTAGGTTAGAGACATGTTCTTTTGGATTTGTGCATAAGCTATGATAGAGTAAAAATGTCTTTCTTCTGTGCTGTTTAACATTGGAGTTTTTAAACCTGTTTCATGCCTGCTCCCATTCCTTATTCAGATGTAAGAGTTTCATGTCATTCTTTTTACCAGTTTCAGGGATTCAGCTTCCAGATTCGTTGGTGGAATGTGTAGTAGGAGGAATGGTTACCCATCATGCCATGAGTGGCAAGTGGAGAGACACTAGAATTAGTATTCGAGTGGATTGTGAAGCTTGTGTAACATGAATGGGACACGAAGAGTACTTTGTAATCCTGATGAACTAATTTGAAGTTACTCTTCATTGTCATATACCATCCTGAGTGACAGTTATGACCACCCTGAGCACAGTGGGCTTTTGGTACAATCGTGTGACACCTGTGAGGCCTTGTCAGAACCATGCACCTTAGCTGTGCTGGTTGGAGGTTGGAACTCCCCCTGCAGCCCGGTTATGCCCACTCTTTTTTTATCATCTGGCTTTTTTTTTTTTTTTCATATTTAATTCATTTACCTCAAAATGAAAGTTGAACACAAATACAAATAATTATTTGGACACAGAATTTCAAGATTCCAAATTATTTGAATAGTAAAAGCCTTAGTACTATAAAGTACTTTCAATTATTCTTCTTAAACTGTCTGTATAACAAATGTTACCATGTAAAGGAAAAACAAAGCATTATTTCATCACGTTATTTGAATTAGCCTATTAGAAAAAGTCATACCTGCTTAATTTAAAAACCCAAAGATGTATATATGTTCCAGTGATAATTAATTACTATGAATATGATATGATCGAACTTTAACCTTCATAAGTAGTTGTTTTTTGTTT